ACAAAAAGTGCCTCTTTATTTATATGGAAGTTCCTGTGGACTGCAATGTATCTCTGAAGATCTTCAAAAAGCTATCAAAATTCAAGGACCTTGAAACCGAAATCTCAAAAATGTGGCACATGGGAACATCAACGATCCCCGTTGTAGTGGAAGCCCTCGGACTGGGTGGAAAAGATTCCAGTAGACTAATTGAAGGGATTCCTGGAAGCCCATGCCTTAAAGAAATACAAAAATTGTCCTCACGAGTACAGCCCACACTTTACGAAGGGCTTTATATATGTAAAATATTTTTTTTGTCAGTGGAAAGTGTCATGATGCCATTTCTAACCTTAGATCTCTTGACTGGATCCGGAACGAAATGTGTACACACCAGAAATCAAAGGAAATAAAATAATAATAATAATAATAATAATAATAATGATAATAATAATTAATAAGATGAATGAAATTCAGCATACACATGAGAGAGAAAAGTGTTTCAGAAAAGTGCGGACAGTATTGAAAACAGAGCTTAATTCACAGAATTAAGTAACACTGGCAAATACACTTGCAGGGCTTCTTTTAACTTAGTTTTTATATAATTAATTGGAATTTGAATGAAAACAGAGCAAAAAAAAAAACAGACAAAAAATTAGGAAGATATTAATTTGGCACAAGATACACTACTCAAAAGCGGACGTTAAATGACTGTACTTATCAGTGGTGAAAGAGGAAAGATACAACGTGAATTGACATACATAACAACAAAAATTGGATAACATCAATATTTTCAGATTACTGAAAACTGGATTTTAAAATTAGCTTACAAACATGCAAACCTGAAAAATGAAAATAAAACGTTTGCAAAAGAACTGAATGGGAAAAGCAAATATAAATTTGGGGGAAATCTATGAAAAAGTAAAAAACTGTTTTCTTTTGACAAAATAATATGCTAAAACTCTATCATATGTAATAATTGTCACAAGGAATACATCTGAGAAACTTCAAGTAATTTAAATAAAAGATTATATGAACATAAAAGGGATCTTTTACAAAACAACGCATTAAATGCATTACTCACCATAATATGTCTGACCATTGTGACGAATGCAAGCCCACACATATACGTTATTCCCCACTCCCACAACAGAACCCAAAGGAGACACGCATAGAAATACGCGTAGACGAAGTCTAAAAATAGATTCAGACCCAGTAAGATAGCACATAAAAGAAACAATGCGATTGGTCAAAAGCAGCCAATCAGCAGTCGAGAAAATTAGGCGCCAAAAAGGAGACGCGCACGTGAAGAGAAGAAGAGAAGCAGCTTTATCGGAGAGACCGGCGGACGGAAAGTCACGCCAACGTCCATGTTCCAGGCAGCACGCTGAGGCAATACATTCCCAGAGGCAGAGAAGCAGACCAACCACTCAAATGCCAAGAATGTGAAGATAGACCAGACTCAATTGGCCTGAACCCCTCGGAGATCATCGCCTTAAGAAGAAATCCTGAATATAAATATAAGGCAGAGAATGTGATCCCAATTGAAAACCTAAAGCTCCAGTCGCTGAACCAAGAATACAAGAAAAGAGACTATTATTGCCTTTGGTCGATAAATGCATATCTCCGATAAGTTTATACCCCCAAAACCCCCAGTGTTATTATGATTCGCAAACACCCAATAATATTATGTTCTTGCACACACCTTTCCATAATAGTAATACTAGATAATTGAGACTATACCCCTGTATATGTGTGAAACATTGCATTCGTTAATACTTGTCGTATCCCAACTAAATATATGTTATAGCTAACATGATATAATATCTTTATTGTCGTTGCCATATACATGTTCTTGTTAATTAAATATTATATTGTCCACAATGTCGTTTCGTTCATTTCTGGTCAGCGGTCGGCCGAATGTGTTATTCATAGAACCCGGGGAAGCCTAATTCAATTAAATCATAATTGAGTTGGACTTCGCTTACTTTCTTTTCTTTTTATATTATCTGCTGATGATTTAATGATATAAGGGAAATAACCCTATTATTTATTCAGTAATCCCATAACGGAAGGTTATTTGGGTATATAAGATATAAACGAATTATCGTGCAGAATACATGGATCTTAGCCTGGTGTTGATTGTGTCCCCCATCACAATATTAATATCAGGTGAGGACCTATGACAGCATAATATTGACTTAAAAATACTACTTTAATTAAAACGAAAGAAATTCACTGAGACGAAAGTGCTTTAATCAGTAGATCATTTACAGTCAATTTACGTCAGGTTCTTACAAAGTTTCACCTTTCTTGGCAAATTTACTATTATCACAATGTGGGGTATTTAATAACAAAAGTGATAAAAACAAACTAAATGAAATTGGCTAAATGACATACCTAAAACATATGTTTTTAAAAAACAATTTAATTTAAAATTCCCAGTATCCTCTCTTAAACCTCACTTTAATCCGATGAAGTTCTAAAGGGCGAAACACGTGTGACGAAAACTTTTTCCATTTTGTCATAAAAAAAGAACTGAATATCAACTTCAAAGGTCATGAGATAGACAATACATGAAAAAATGTTAGCTAGCTTGCAAAGAAAGAAGGCCTTAAACAACTTGAAGGAAATTGAGAACAGAAATATTTGCATGGGCAATACCCTCTTCGAAGATATTTACGTAGAACAAAAGAACACACATAAAAAATCAAAAGAAGAAACAAAAGGATTTATATTGGCGGCACGAGACCAAATATTATTCACCTGAATGGCCAAGAAAATGTTTTGAAAAATGATACGGATTCAAAGTGCCTTTTTTGCGACCTATATGAGAATTATTACCTCAATTTTCTCTATAATTTTTTTTTAAAAAAAGACTGTTTTTATAAATATTACGCGCATTTTACAAAGGATATTGTCAATGTAATTTTCCAATTATATGATTAAGAGAAAAATGTAAAAATCTCTTCAACCTTAACTTGCCTTAAGTCATTGGTAATGAACCGATAATAGATTTTATTAAATAAAATCAACTACTACTACTACTACTGCTAATACTAATACTACTAATAATAATACTTATATGTAACAGCTCAGATTTACATAAATTCTGTACCTAATATTGAAGATTTAGCAAACTTGAGCCTTTGTGTCTGCATTAAAACGTAGTTTTAAAAGGATGTTTTTTTTTTCCAGTGATACCACTATTATTTTCTTCTTCACTCTTCGGCAATGTTTATTGTTTTTTAAAAAGCGATGATTGCAATTGTAATAAAACCTAAACATGTAAACTGACATAAAAATAATAAACGCTATTTATTTATTAGATTGTTTATTTACACTATTTATTTTATTGTTTATTGGAATGTTTGGCAATACATCAACTAATTGCCAATTGATTCGAACTTTAAAAAAAGGTAAATGAGGAATTCCTTATAGTTTGTTCATATATTTAAAAAAATTATTAAGTGTTTATAAATTTATGAAAAAGAAATTGTTTTCATATTTATTTCTTTATAAATTGGCAAATGATAAATATTGCATTGCATTAGTTTTAATACAATTGTATTAGTTTTTAGAATGTTTAAATATAATATTATTTTTGTAAATAAACATTCTAATAAATAGTGTTTAATACTTTTGTTGTAAATTCTCAAGAACAAAAAGATGTATAAATTCGCTTTCATCATATGTTCAGGTTTATTACAACTCTACCATTGTTAAGGAGTGAAGGTGAATAATAAAGGTGTCAATGGAAAATACGTCCTTTTCACACTCCGTTTTTTGCAAGCATGAAGGTCCAAGTTTTCCGACAATTTTTCTCCCATAAATATAACATATCTTAAGAACTATATTTTATCCTTCATGCATATATGCATATATATATATATATATATATATATATATATATATATATATATATATATTTATATATATATATATATATATATATATATATATATATATATATGAACTCCTTCCTTGATCGTAAATCTACACGGATGCTGCTGCTGCGGTTTCAAATTGCCTATTAAGTCCTACACACAATATGGATGAACTTATAGAAACAAACTATTCCAACTGTCATAACATTTAGCCATAGGTAAGGGAGAAGTGGATTCATGTCTTTTCCAAGAGCATTTGTCCGATGTGAGTGCAAACTATGCCAGTCGCAGTTTGAACTCGGCTCGCTGATTAAGCGGAAGACAATGAGTAAAAATAGGCGTTAAAGTGTGTTTCTTATTAAAGTGTTAACCAGTTATGACACTTCCGCATTGTCACCTCGTGTAACTACAACGCCATTTTGAACTGGCTAATCTTTAAGGAAATGTTTCTCACAGCGGCATTGGCGAAGTGAATCGCTTCTAGCATGTGATCTATTAACCTTGTCCTACTCTCGAAGTAAAGAGATACAATTAAACAAGCTATACAGTGTTTTTCGTGCGTCAGCGTCAGTTTCCGTAGAAACAAAGGCGAACATTTGCGTGTCACATTGCAATCGTAGTTTTGAGTGTCAGAGATGAGAATATTCCTCTGTAAGTGGCTGAGTTTTGTCATCTGAACAACAGAACGTTTGGCGTATATGTTCGGAAAGACGAAATTGGTTGCTTCTCAACATGTGGATGTTAATGTAACAAAGAGACAGTGAATAATCTTAATGACATTTTCTTTCAATTTTATGAATACATGCTCACGATGCCAGATTTTATTATACAAGTCAATGTTTTTACAATGAATTGTTGGTCAGTTTGTTGTTATTTTTTGCGGCATATCAACACCTCTATGGGATATTTAATGCTGAAATTTAAATATTTACTATGCAAGTTTATTTTATTTTTTGGAGATAGGTTTTGGTTTTAGTTATACAAGTCTTACTAATGAAGCCACACCTGGGGAAGAACAAGTGGATTCATACCCCACCCAAGGGTATTTGCGTGTAATGGAATATAACGAACCCAAATGGAATTGGAACTCTCCTCTATTAACAATTCCTCATCCATTACGAAACGCGCACATCCAAGCTTACAGCTCCTAGTATTCCCAAGCGGTTACCCATCTATATGCTGACCAGGCTCGACGCTGCTTAACTTCGGTGATCGTTCCGGAACCGGTGTTTTAATGTGATGTGGCCGTAAGCCTTTAATAAGAAAAGACCACGAAGACAAAATGTGCCTCCTTATTGACATGGCGGTCCATGCAGACTACAATGAATTTTTGAAGTTCTTCAAAAAAACTATCAAAATACAAGAACCTTCAAATCGAAATCTCAAAAATGTGGCACGTGAGGACATCAACAATTCCAGTTGTAGCTGGAGCCCTCAGATTGATTGGAAAAGGTCCCAATAGACTCATTGAAGGGATTCCTGGTAGCCCATTACTTAAAGAAATACAAAAGAATGTTCTCACGAGTACAGCCCACACCTTATGATGGGCTGCATCTATATAGAATATGTGTGATTTTTCTTTTCAAAACTGCTCAATGGAAAATATCATGATGCCATTTCCGACATTAGGTTGGGATCCAGAAACAAATAAGCATACACCAGAAATCAAAGGAAATAATAATAATAATAATAATAATAATAATAATAATAATAATAAGAAGAAGAAGAAGAAGAAGAAGAAGAAGAGAAATAGCAACAATAATGAAAATGATAAGAAAAAATAAAAATATCGATAATTCAATGAATAATGACAGCAAAATCAATATGTGGTGAAAGAGACGAAACGGTGAAAAATATAAGTAAACACAGCAAATTTACCCTAAAGAAATACAAAAACCAGGCAAAAATGATTTATGGGCCTGGTTCACTTGAAATTAGAAACAGCATTTAGATCCGAAAAAAAATGGCTTGATCACAAGCCATAAATGTTTGTTAAGAATAGAAAACCTTTAAGATTTTGGAAACGATTTGCCTTAACTAAGCAAGATCTAATTTGTTATTAATCAAAAAAAGCAAAATTACTAAATAGTATATACAACCGTTCCAGTAGAAGAAATTTACATATTTTGGTGTTCGTATTAAAATGAAAACAGGAAGAAACTGAAACGATACAACTACTAAAAGAAAAAAGCACCAGTTATCTAAATGGAAATTTGAAATAATGGAAGCAGATTTGATTAAAGGAATTGAAATGATGAAAAGAAAATTTAAACAGAACATCTCAGAAGTACAGGGTGTCCCCCCTCCCAAATTAACATAATTTAAAATCTGAATATCTGAGTAACTGCATGCCCCGAAATTAAATACGCTTCAGGTTGGACAATATCATATTTATTTATCAAGATTCGGACAAGATATTCAAAGGGATATAGATTTTATAATAATAAGAAGCTCTTGACTGAAAAGTGCTTGGAGAGTAAACGCTCTGATCTTAGATTTGTTCACAAGAGCATGGATTTTGATAAACGTTGCAGTATCTTTGGAAAAGAACATCTCGAAGGTGAAGCAGGCAAAAATGCAGAGTTGCCAAAACTTGGCAGTGTAAATCAGAGAAATATACCAAGAAGCAACTTAAATAGTCCCTTTAGTGGTTTGCGCTCTCGGAACTATTTCCAGGAATCTTGATGCTATGCAGACTGCTTTGGAGATACCTGGCATCATTGGGAGTGTTCAGGTGTCTGTACTGCCTGGAACAGCTAATGTACTGAGAGAAATACTGTAACGATAAGATTCGTGTAGGAGGTGAAATATGGTCATCATCGTCACCCAACCAACACATCTATGAGTCGGAGAAGATATCAAATAATAATGTTAATAATATGTCATTTTTAAAGGCTTCAATATTTCATCTTTAAAATATGACACAAAATGCATATCTTTAAGCATTCCTTTCTAGCAGAACTTCTATAATAAAATAATATGAATTGGCACCATTATAGAATTGACACCTATTATTTTTCAATTAAAAAAAAACAATTTATGATTAGAAAATAGCTTATGGAACTCTTTTCTTGCTCCATGCTTTCCGACCAACTTTCTATAAATACTTTCGTATCTGGTAACTCTTCGGATGAATTCTTCGTTATGGTACCTAGACTTTATGAATTTAAGTGCAGTAATAGATTGGTGGCAAGGTTTCATCAATTCACGGTTAAATTGACGAGATGTAGTCGTAAATTCTATGTTCACAGTCTTTTCTATCGCTTGTAGAGACTCTCTTCCGGCTGCATGCTTTTCAGCCAACTTTGAACTTCAAAAATTTAAATGAAATATCTACTATCTTCCTGATTACTCTTCTATTGTTCTCGCTCTTTCATGATGTTTTCTGTTTTCTAATTCTTTAATACCTAGTAACCCCTTGTGGCTTTACTGCTTTACTTGAGGTAAATTCGATTAAAGAAACTGTATGGTACAAATGAAAATGTACTCTCTGGGTAGAACTGATGATGGCAAAAAAGTAGTTGCAAAAATAATTACTCTTCTTCCTATAAGTGCTACTATAAATACTACTAGTTGCAAAATGCTGAGACGGCGCAGAACTGGCTTACCTTAAGGCTACGATAAAGAGATCTTCATTAACGCAGCTACAGTTCAATTGTTAATCGAATTCTCAACACCCGAGCATCTATTTCGCAGTAGATATCTGTTCAGGATGCTTTGAAACACCTCAGTGCTGTTATCATGGTCGCTGTTTACATCATCTCCGTTGTCAATGGTAACAGTGAGGACGTTGACACATTGATGTTATTTAATGGAATCGCAATTTTAAAAAAGAAGCCATCCTTATTTCAAGCATCAACATCAGAAGAGCGAAAACTGAAGAAGAAAACTAAACAGTTTATATAAATCCATATATCTTATCATGCAATTCCTGGTAGCAATAAAATCCATATGTTGCAATCCAGAAGGTAGAGTGATAAAGAGAAGAAAGATTTGGTGCAAAGTTAAAATTTTATATTTCTATGGGTTTATAACGTAGATACACGACACGGTTCAGAAAAATAAAAATAAAAAATCCTATCATTTCTCTGTGCTTTTTCTAACCAAGATTTAATTTTTAAATTTTTCAAATTATCATAATAACTGTTAACTTGACCCTAGAGGAACACGTGAGGTAATGAAATAAAAGTGCGTAATCTGGTCAAAGTGTTTATGTACACGTATGTCGCTTTATCCTTGTAAACATATAAAAATGACTAGCTATTGAAAGTAAGGTCGGTTTCACCAAACGGAAGCAAGAGTCGTCAGATATTCGGCGCATTCGGATATAGTCAGACGAAATTGGTTCTGTGCTAAAATATAAGTACAGACTAATAATAACACGTGACTTAATCTCCATTTGTCATCAATTCCTATCGACAAGTATGTGTGTGTGTGTTTGTGTGTATGTATGTATGTATGTATGTATGTATGTATGTGTGTCTTTGTGTGACCCTGGATCTCTCATCTGGACTTGAACCTTGCATTCTCTGAGGGACTGTCCAACCCCTCCCTGGGCTTGGCGTTTAAATAAATCCTGATAATACAATCCTTTCCCACGTCTGCAACGCAGGTGATGTGAAATACTTCTGAACTCAGTGGCTGCGAGATTACCTCATCTCAACACTCCATCAGACTTCCTAGTTAGTCTGGTGTAGTACTGAGTTCAAATTCTATTCTATTCATTATCTGGGAGTGACACACACACATATCAATGTCTTCTTTGATTGGCTAAAGAATAACTCTTCAAGGTTTCATTTTCTCTGTAACCATTAAGTATCTCACTTGCCTCTGAATGTAAAAATACCGTGAATTTTTTTTTGTACACTATTTTTTTACACAATCCTGTCCCTATAAAGCAGTAACCGTTTTATCATTTTCACTCTATTTTCTTTAGATCAAAATGCTAATTATCAAAAGGACTTTTATTAGTAGTTGTAGTAATGATAACTGTAGATGTATTCATTAGTGACTGTGAATCTTTAATGTTACTTTTGTTGAGATACGTTTCTAGATGACTACGTCCATACTTCTAGTATTAGCATTTGAAGATTCATTTATATGAAAAGTCCAGATTAATAATGCCGAATTTCAATTTACCAAAAGTTGCAATTGTTACTCTACAGACCTCTGGGATAAAATATGCACGAAGAAGCAAAACTTTTAATCCATTTTAATATATCGCGGATTCAATGACTGTAGCTGTTGCGATTCTGTATTCCTAACGCTGTTACTCTCACAACTGGAAATAAAAAGTTCGAACCTAATTCAATGAGAAGACAGGCTATTTGATTTCAAAATTTACTTTAAATGTACATGATTGTGCGACTTATGCCTGCTTGTATTAATTCGCATCGACGATGCCAGCTGTCGTACAAGTCTTTATCTCTTGGCTGGTCAGTGAGGCGTGGTCACACTTTCGACAGCTTACGTGAAAAAATAGACCCCTTAATATATTGATTTACTCTATTGAAAATCAATAATTACTGAGTGCATCCCGAGCACATCCACATACATCTGAATACAAATTTATACAGCACGCCACCTTTCTTGACAGAACTACTGCTATTACGAAATAGGATATTGGATAAATCGAACTACAGAAATTTAAAATTTTGATTTAAAGTTAAGTTCGTCTTCATTTTCAGTGTTTCTCTCGATTTGTGGTTGTGGCAGACATTTGCTTGTATTTCGTTCCCTGCCACTAAATAAATATCATCCTATCAATAAAAACATTATTGTTGTGGATTCCGGGATGAAATCCGGTACCAATAAATAACAAACGCCAGGAATGAATATATGAAAATAATGTATTAACGTAATAATACAAACTGGTAAAGCAGGTTAGTAGTTCCAGGAATACGGGTTAGTAGCAAAATATCTATACAGTCTTTGGTATTGAAGTATCGCTGTATGACTTCTTACTGAGTCTACGTGCTCGCTCACTGTGACTTTTGCTCGCTACGTTCGTTCGGTCTGTCTGTTATCTTACTCTCACTCTTCCGGTTACCTACAACCTTTCACTCCTCCTCTGTTTCCTTGCTCTGTCTCTCGGGTCTTCACGTAGCAGTAGTATATGTATATATATATCGGGTGAGTCCATTTGTGTAAAAAGAGGAGTTACGCATCACATAGAACTATATACATTTATAGCTGTATGTTGACCTAAACAAACTTTGGCATATGATTGGATTCGTCGAGCAGTCAGTAAT